GCCTGGCCACCTTAGTGAGTTCGGGGCTCAGTGAGAGACCCTGTTTCAAATCAACAAGGTAGAAGCTGGAGAGATGGCTCAGTTGGTGAAGCATTTGACAAACAAGCATGGAGAGACCACAGTCTGACTCCCCAGCACCCATGAAAAAAGACAGGCAAGGTGACGTATGACTGTGATTCCAGCAGAGGACACAGAGACAGTTGGACCTCTGGAGTGCACTGGCAGGCCAGCCTAGCAAAATTGGCACGTGCCAGATTTAGTGAAAGACCTTGTCTCAAAAAATACAATGGAGAACAATCAGGGAATACACTCAACATTGTCCTCTGGTCTCCACATGCACACAAACACATAGACCACACAGCCAAATAAATAAAAGACCTTAAACCTACCAAGTTATATGGCTCCTGAAGACACACACACACACACACACACACACACACACACACACACACACACACACACACACACACATCGTAACCAAGGCTTAGTCTCATTTATAATGGCATTTTCCCCTGCTTGGGACATTTTACAGGTATGACATTGAACTCCTTAGGAGAAAGTCCTGCTGTGTGTCACACTTAAATGAATTAATGATACCAACATCCTGGCCCAACTCCCCATCTCAAGATAGCCGGTCCCTGCTTTTCAAATATATGATTGCTGCCTCTGCTGCGGTGTGTGAGGACAAAATAGTAAATATTATCTCCATCTTCTCTGGCCATCAGGGGCGGACGGGCAGAAAAGGAGGTCGTAACTCTCTTTGCCGACGTGAACAGTCACCTTGTGGCGATTACCCCAGGCCGACCTTGGTGCTCAGTGCTTTCTGCTTGGTTTTCCAGCTGTTTCAAAAGAAACTGGCTGGGAAGAGTTAGACATGTTCAAGTAGCCGCCAGCGTTCCTCTCAGCTGAGAAAGTAGGTGAGTGGGGAGGGAGGGGAGAAAGATGAAGGGAGGAGAGGAGGGAGGGGGGAAGGGAAGCCCTGGGTTTTACACCCAGCACCGGCATAAACTGGATCAGTCCTGCATACCTGTAATCCCAACACTGGGGACGTAGAGGCAGGAGGATCAGAAATGTAAGGTCATCCTTAGTTACATAGGGATTTGGAGACGAGCCTGGGCTACATAGGACCGTGTCCTTCTCGGATGGATGGATGGATGGATGGATGGATGGATGGATGGATGGATGGATGGATGGATGGATGGATGGATGAGTGGATGGATGGATGGATGGATGGATGGATGGATGGATGGATGGATGGATGGATGGATGGATGGACGGACAGACGGATGGATGGATGGATGGATGTATGGATGGATGGGTGGATGAGTGAGCCATCCAACGCCCCCTGCTCAATGGGCTCTCCCCTGAAGCTGACTGGCCCTCCTAGCCCTAACTGACACACACCCACTAGCAAATCTCCAGGTATCTTGGCACTCATCTTGAGCCTGACTTGACCATGACCCCCCCAGCAACGTCCCTCATTCTGGGATACCTATGCTGGTGGACTCTGTCTACTGTCACCAAAGACTTTCTTAGCTTTCTTGTTCACGATGCCCTTTAAGTCACATGTCCTTCAGGTATTGTCCCCACATGTCGCATATCTCCACACAGGACTGGCCCCCAGCCTCCTCTCTTTCCAGTCAGTTCCCTCTGGCAGGGGTATGTCCATTCCTGGCTCTAAGGATTCTTAGTGTATCCCTTTAGCTTCCTGATGACACCCAGACCCCTCCGGGGATCACTCTGTTCCCGTCCCCAGTGCGTTCCCTGCTCCCCTGGCTGGTCCAGATGCCCATCTCCGCAGTGATCCCTGTGAGTCTTCCAACTTCAGTCATTTGATAAATTACAGACTTCGGCTTGTATTTGCACAGGAAGTCTGTAATTAGCCGTGGAGCATTTTGTTAAACTTCTCTGTGAAAGATGCTGGAGAAAAAGGAATAAATCCTCGATTTGTGTTGTACTCCTGGGAGAGCAGCACTCAGCTCTCCGCCTCCCCGTTGCCCCCACCGCACTACCATCCACCAAATTCCATTCTCCTCTTGCTGCCTGGTTCTTTTTCGCCACTGAGTTCATTTTCAGGGTCCAGAGCAGTTTCCAACATCCCCATATTTGTGGGGGGAGGTCCTTATTTACCAAAGTTAATTTTGCTCATATTGCAACATGCTTGAAAAATCTTGTTGAACTTCATTTGCTGTGTTCTACCAGCAAGTAGCAACCGGAACTGAATTAGCATTGTTCCAGGAACCTGCTTACACATTTCAGAGCCCTTGAGAGACACCAAGCAGGACAAAGCTGGGCTCAAGGAAGGCTCTATCCCGAAGCACTGTTAGCTCGGGGTGCCCAGGAAGGGAGTTCCTCAGGTCCAGGACCTTAGGGATACTGTGTGTTTCAGCATCCGAAGACTGTCATGGATCTACCATCTGTCTCTCTAATTCCCTGGCAGGCAAGCTGAGAGCTGGGTGGCTCGGTGCCCATTAAGAATGCGAACCTTTTATTTTCTTTGTAAAGAAATCTCTGGCTCTTTTCAAGGCTGCCCAAAAGAAATAGGGCTGTCAAGGAAGAACTCTGTACTTAACTCAATGAGGTTATTCTCCATTTATTTCCCAGAAGGCAATCGGGCTCTGCACTCGAGGGAAGGGAGCAGGGGAGCACATCAGCAGAGAGTTCTGGAGGTCTCCCCAGTGCTGGGAGGATAGCCCTTGCAAGGTCCTTGCCCTCTCGAAGTTTCTATCTAACGAGCAACAGAGCTCGCAGGAGACTGCACAGGGAGAGAGGCTGCCTTGAGAACAGCATAGAAGTCAGCCCAAACAGGAGCAGGGATCACACCCTTTAGGATGGGGGCCTGCCAAGGGCTTCTTTCCTGTCTTATTCTGTTTCTCTTCATGGTGCTGAGGATGTTACTCAGTGACCTGAACATGGTAGGCAAGTGTTCTGCTACTGAGCCACACCCTAGCCCCTCACTGGGGGATTCTAGGCAGGTGCTCTACCACTGAGCCACACCCCAGCCCCTCACTGGGGGATTCTAGGCATGTGCTCTACCACTGAGTCACACCCCAGCCCCTCACTGGGTGATTCTAGGCAGGTGCTCTACCACTGAGCCATACCCCAGCCCCTCACTGGGGGATTCTAGGCAGGGGCTCTACCACTGAGCCACACCCCAGCCCCTCACTGGGGGATTCTAGGCAGGGGCTCTACCACTGAGCCACACCCCAGCCCCTCCCCTCACTGGGGGATTCTAGGCAGGTGCTCTACCACTGAGCCACACCCCAGCCCCTCACTGGGGGATTCTAGGCAGGTGCTCTACCACTGAGCCACACCCCAACCCCTCACTGGGGATTCTAGGCAGGTGCTCTACCACTGAGACATGACCTCAGGCCAGGTTTGAAGACTTTCTGAGAAGCTGTTAAACTTGGGAGATCACAACATGTCCCCTAAGTCGGGTATGGCCACCTATCCTCAATAAAAAGAGAAGAGCCAAATTAATAGTGGGCAGCAGGAAAGGCGATGTATTAATGTAGTCAATGGATGGAAGAGGGAGAGTGCGATCTGGTAGAAGTTCCCAGTCTGTCCTCAAGGCCCAGAAATAAGATCAAAGTTTAAATAGAGGCCTACGATGTGCGTATCTAAGCAGGCCCAGTTGAGGTGTGGTCCCTCCCACCGCTGACCAATCCTTGTCTGGAATTCAGTCTCACCCTGTGAGGTGGTCCGAGAAGATGTTAGGGTCATGTAAAACCTCCTTGAAAATAGGATCCCCTCTGCGCGGGGCCTTTTCCTTCTCCCAGTGTGAGATTTCTAGGAATATTCCCATTCTTTGGGGTCCATTGTGTCCATAGTCTGATGGTCAGGTTGATTGTTTTTAGAATATCTCCATTTCTGCCATGCTGGTTACAAAGTGGCGATTCTACACCTGTCTGAAGTCAACTCCAGCACTGAGTAGACTTTCTCTTGGACCTCACCAAGAGGTTGATCACCACTTTTATTTAACACATATAGATTTCCTGGGATACCCTGAGAGTCATTAGAAACTTTGTAGATCAATCCCTTGTGTTCCTTTTGTGCTTAATTTCAGGTAAATTTACCTTCAATTAGTGGCTGCACAGTGGGGGCTCCTGGCTGGCTCAGAGCATTTCTGCTCACAACCTCCAAACTCCCCTTGTGAGCAAGGAGTGACTCTATGTCAGTGATCCCTTAACCAGGCCAGAAAGTTCTGGAATAGGGAGATCCTGGGATGAATTTCCATGTATAGCAAGGGATCATTTTGTTATTGTTGCTTTGTGTGTGCACGCATGCACATGTGTGTCTAAGCTTCTGTGTGTGTGTGTGTGTGTGTGTGTGTGTGTGTGTGTGTGTGTGTGTGTGTGGTGGGCACATGCGCATGCGTGCACGCACGCACACACGCTCTCGAGCTGGCTCACGGGGGTGCATGTGGAGGCTAGAGGATAATCTTGGGTGCCATTCCTCAGGCACCATCAGTCTTTTTCTTTTGAGGTGGGGTCTCTCACTGGCCTGGAATTTGCCATTGGCGAGGTGGCTGGAGAAGCCGTGTCCTCCTGTTCCCTTCTTTCCAGTGCTGAGATATCAGCATATACCACATGTCTGGCTTTTTACGTGGATTCTGGGGCTCAAACTCAGGTCCTCACGCTTGTGCAGCAAGCACTTTACCCACTGAACCAACCCCCAACCCCCAAACGCCATTAGTGGATAATTGGATTCCAAATGATTTAATATTTTTTAAGGTCAAACTTTATGTTCAAAATGAAAAGTCTAGTGATCCTCTGGATGAAGAGCAAAATGCTCCCATTTCTTCAACCCTCCTTGAATCCGTGTCCTTTGCCTTGTGACCCTGTAGCATTCCACCAGCAGGTGCCACCAGTTTGACTGACTCCAGTCTAGCCACGTGACTCACAATGGCCAATAGAGTGCAGCAGGAATGCAAGCCAGCCAGTCAGAAGGCTAGACTTTATGAGTGTGCACAGGTGCTGTCTGTCTTGGAATGCTGCTGTCTCCATAGCAACAAGCCCAGCTCTGGCTGGAGCATATAACACCCTGGGACTGCAGCCACCAGCAGCTCACCCACAAGAGAGGTGAACTCAACTAAGATGTTGAGGTTCTGAGGTCTGGGGGTGCCCAAACTCATAAATGGGGGGCATCTTTCAATCCACACAGTATCTTGTTTCCTGGCATTATATATATTAACGGACACTTCTGGTAAGTTCCAGGGGCTGTGCTTGCTCTGGTGTGAGCAAGATCTAACCATGATCCCTAGCTTTCCCAGGGGCTTAGAGTCTGTCTGTGGAATTTTCCAAACCAGCGATTCTGGCTTCATTACTTTTGTGCTGCTGTGGCCAAATAACTGATGAAAACAGATAAAGAAAAAAGAGGTTTGTCTAGGCTCATGGTTTCAGAGGAGTCTGGGTCTGTTGTTGCAGGAAAGGCAGTGGGAATGGGGGTCTGGGGCTCCTCACATCTTGTAAGACAAGAGGCAAGGCTGAAACCAGAGGTCGGCATAAGCTACTGTCTAAGTCAGGGTTTCTGTTGTTGTGATGAAACACCATGACCAAAAAAGCAATTTGGGGAGGAAAGGGTTTTTGGCTTACATTTCCATATTGCTGTTCATTATCAAAGGAAGTCAGGTTAGGAACTCAAACAGGGCAGGAACCTGGAGGCAGGAGCTGATGTAGAGGCCATGGAAGGGTGCTGCTTACTGGCTTGCTCCTCATGGCTTGCTCACCTGCTTTCTTATAGAATCCAGGACCAGCAGCCCAGGATGGCACTGCCCACCATGGGCTGGGCCTCTCCCATTGGTCACTGATAATAAAATGCCTTACAGCTTGATCTAATGGAGGAATTTTCCCAGTTGAAGTTCCCTCCTTTCAGATGACTCTAGCTTGTATCAAATTGACATAAGATGAGCCATCACAGCTACAAAGGCCCGCCCCTAGTGTCCTACCAACCAGGACTTATGTCCACAAGGTTCAACAATCTCCCCAAACAGCCACCTGTGGGGGACCCAGTGTTCAAACACATGAGCTTGTCAAGGACTATGCTGGGTAATCGTGTCAACTTGATGAGACTTAGAATCACCATAGAGATGAACCTCTGAGACATGTGTGAGGGAGTTTCTAGATTAGGTAGACTGAGGTAAAAGACCCATCCTGCATGTGGATAGCATCATTCTGTGGTCTGGGGTCCTAGACTGCATAAAAAGGAGAAAGTGAGCTGAGCACCAGCATCTGTCTCTAACTGCTTCCTGTCTGAGGATGCCATGTGACCAGCTGCCTCACATTCCTGCTTCTATGGGCTCACCACCAGGACAGACTGTACCCTTGAACAGTGAGCTAAAGTAAATCGCTCCTTTCTTCCTTAAATTGCTTCTGTCAGGTCTCTCTCTTGTCACAACAGCAAGAACAGCATCTAATATAGAGACATTTCACATTTAAACTGTAACCAGCCCCAAATTCAGGGCCAGTTACCCATGTGTCATAAGACACATACATATCACTGTCTACAGCAGTGGTTCTCAACTTTCCTGATGCTGCGACCCTTTAATACAGTTCTTCATGTTGTGGTGACCCCAACCATAGAATTATTTTGTTGCAGCTTCACAACTGTGATTTTGCTACTGTTATGAATCATAATGTAAATATCTGATATGGGGGTCACAACCCACAGGTTGAGAACCATCGGTTTACAACCACACACTCTTTGGCCCCCATGTTCATCATCTGCCTTGATTCAACAGGCCCAGAAGAAGCACAGAGAACAACATAGCATTCTCTTTGCACCTTAACTCTCAGTCACATAAACATTTGAGTTTTGCTGCCCTAGGCAACAGCTTGTTCCTTTTTAATTAACTTGCCTTTATTGATTTTCTACATTCATCACCAAACACCAACACACCTTCATGTGTGTCTATGAAGTCAGCACTTAGCCAGCATGGTGTTCTGGGCCATACCTAGTACTCGAGACCACCGATGATGTTCCCTGCTGTGCATGTCCTTTCATTGTGGGGAGGCTCAGATTGTCTCAGTGGAGAATTAATATGTGTTTATTTCTGATTTCTAGGGTTGAGCATTAAACCAAGGGTCTTGTGCATGCTGAAGTGCACACCGAGCCACGCCTCTATCCCCTCACTGGGGGATTCTAGGCAGGTGCTCTACCACTGAGCCACACCCCAGCCCCTCACTGGGGGATTCTAGGCAGGTGCTCTACCACTGAGCCACACCCCAGCCTCTCACTGGGGGATTCTAGGCAGGTGCTTTGCTGATGAACCGTGCCTCTAGCCCCTCTCACTGGGGATTCTAACCAGGCCTGAGAGGTACTTTCACTCACTGAGTCATCTCTCAGGTTCTACACCTTCTATTTTGGTGAAGGGTCTCTCACAACCTGGGTCTTGCCAATTTGACTCGAGTGACTAGCCGGGGATCCTCCTGACTTTGCCTCTCCAGCACTGGGTTTCCAAGTGCATGCTTCTCTGTGTGGCTTTTTATGTGGGTTTTTGGGAATTGAACTTGGGTTCTCATACTTGTGCAGCCAGCACTTTACTTGATGAGCCATCTCCCAGGCTCCATAAATCAACAGACTTTATGGGAAGTATACCTTCCTCCCAAACTGTAGTGTGCTCCATGCCCCAAACACTGTGCTTTACGTCTTACAGAACAAAACCACTGACTTCGCTAAAGCAGAGAGAGCCCTGCTACAGATGCTCTTAGCTGTCAGAACTCTGGACATAACATTAGATCTTCCTAGCACTTCCAGCCCACCCATCAGACCTGCATATGGGAGGTATTGACATGTACTCTAGTGCATGACCAATTTCTTAAAATACACCTATGTGTATGTGTGTGTCACAAGCACACATATCTATATGCAACATGCATATGCATCTACACACATATGTGTGCGTGACCAAACATACACTCATCTTGTTGATTCTGTGTCTGTGGAGAACACAGACAGACATCTCAAGTTCCTGGCCATAAACTCCCAATAGACTCATTGAGCCATGGAGATTCCAAACATACCATACATGGATGAGAATTTAGAGACTGTATCAGTTAGTTTTTACTGCTGCGACAAAATACCCAACAAAAGCAACTTAGTGAAGGACAGGCTCACTTTAACTCGTGATTTGAGGGTACAGCCCATCATGGCAGGGGAGTAGGCATGGCAGCAGGAGCTTAGACAGCTACTCACACTACATCTGTTCTCAGGAAGCAGAGAGCTGGATGCTGGCCCTCAGCTTAGTTTTTCTCCTTTGTCTTTAGTTCAAGACCTCAGCCCACAGAATGGTACTGCCCATATTCTGGGTGGGTCCTCAGTGAAGTCAGTCTAAAAGCTCCCTCACAGACATGCCCAGAGGTGTGTCCCCTAGGTGATTCTAGATCCTGTCAAGTTGACAGTCAATGCAAACCGTTACAGAGATCCTCCCCATGTACCAGGCTGCAGATCCAGATGCAGACTGGGGCAAGGCATGCAACACAGCCATATGTGGTGGGCCCAGTATGAGGAATGGGTAAGGATGGCTGCAAGCCAAGGGTGCAGTCAGAGCTGTCTTCAGAAGCCACAGCTATATAAGGCACCCCCAGGAACAGCAGCCAACTCCTCCTCATAGCTAGTTCAGGGGTCTGGGAGTTGCCAGGTGGGTGTCTACAACACATGTATCAGTGAAGACAATATTTGGGAGTTCCACTGGATTGGCATGTCCCAGGCTGGTCATCATGTGGGTTGGGTCTTATCCACACGATCCCTCAAACATCCTGGGGCTTGGTCACCATATGGCATCTGGGGCCTGAAGAAGGCTCCTCTATGATGCCAGGGTCCGCCTTTGGGAGTTACACAAAGTTACCTTTGCTGGTCAAAGCCAACCTCAGGTGCATCAGGATTCAGGAAGGAAGAGTAACCAAAAGCAGAAATACCAGGTGGCATGGCTCACAGGGTGAGTGGCGCTCTGTTAAATCTGTCCATGACAAAAGAAAGTTCCACTTTAAAGACACTGTTAATACACAATTAAACACCCCTGGTGAATTTGGTTTACAAACCAGAAATCTGGAGTAGAACTGTCTATGTGAAGCCTCCTGTGTCCTTAGGGTTCTCTTACTGACTCTCCTGATTTCAAAGCTAGCCAATCCACCCTGAAGTATATCTCGGTGCTCTTTCTTTTTCATGGCTTAGTAATATTTCCATTGTTTGGCTATTCTAGAATATACCCATCCACACTTCCATTTGGTGGACATGCTGGTTGTTTTGAACATTGTGAATAGACTGATATGGATATTCAGGTACCATTGGTGCAAATACAGAGATTCTTTTTTTAAGCCTTGCTCTCAGAAGCAGATCTTCAATGAAAATGTAGTTTCTTTGGTTCCCAAGCTAACACATATTCCTGGATCATGTTAGAACTAGATGGAGCCAAGAGATGTGTGAGAAGGTGGGCAGTCTGCCAGGTCCTGGCTGCATCTGAGGTGATTTTAACAATGAATCAGAACCAGAAAATTGCTCTGGTTGAATCCTTCCCAGATGTTCAGAAAACACAAATAAAGCCACCTGGTGGGGTGGTTTCCAGAAGTAGAAATGAGTTTTATCTCATTCTTTCCTTTTAAAGGCAAATGCATGTACATATACTCATGCACACACATACTCATGTGCATATACACACTCATGTGCACACAACTTATGTGTACACACACTAATTCATGTCTATACATACTCATTGTACACACTCATGTGCATATACACACTCATGTGTTGTAGAATATTAGTTGAAGATTTGTTACAGTTGTTTTTGCTGCAGAACATTTGTTTAATGATGCATAGATGTGTTTCATTCTTTTATATTGCGTTTGTTTAACTCTATAAAGCTGTATGACTTTGCCTGTCTAAAATACCTGATTGGTCTAATAAAGAGCTAAACGTCTGATAGCCTGGCAGAGAAAGGATAGACAGGGCTGGCAGACAGAGAGAATAAATAGGAGGAGAAATCTGGGAAGAGGAGATTGAGGATCAAGAAAAGGAGAAGGAGAGAAGATGTCAGGGGCCAGCCATACAGCCACACAACCAGACATGGAATTTGAAGGAAAGAGAAAATATACAAAAATAGAAAAAGGTAAAAGCCTAGAGGCAAAAAATAGATGGGATAATTTAAGTTAAGAAAAGCTGTCTAGAAACAAGCCAAGCTAAGGCTGGGCATTTGTAAGAAAGGATAAGTCTCAATGTAATTATTTGGGAGCTGGGTGGTGGTCCCCTCAAAGAGTAAAGAGTAAAAAAAAAAACCATTCATGTACTCACAACTCACGTGCACACAATTCATGTGCACACACATGCAAACACACACTAATTCATGTATACATACTCATATGCATATACTCACTCATGCACAAGCAGACATGTGTGTACACTCACACACTCATGTGCACACACTTTCACTCATGCCTACACACACACATACACACACTCATGAGGACATACACATTTATGTGCACACACAGTCATTTATACATGCATGCATGTGTACACACACACACACACACACACACACACACACACACACACAAAATCATTGCTGAGCCCAGAAACAGTACCATCATTTTCAATACTAAGAAGGGTTCCCCCAAGCCCTCCCAGGATGGTGCTTTTTGTTTTTGTTTACTTGATGTTTTCTGTGCGTGTTTGCAGGCACATGCATGCCATAGCATGAGTGTGAAGGTCAGAGGACAACCGTGGGTGTCAGTCCTTGCCTTCCACCTTGTTTGAAACAAGGACCTTCTTTTGTTCTTTGCTGCTGTGTCTGCTAGGCTAGCTTGCTGTGGATATCACTCTATATAAATAAAACACTGATGGCCAGTGACCAGACAGGAAGTATAGGTGGGACAAGGAGAGAGGAGAATTGGGGAAACAGGAAAAAGGGGAGAGAGACACTGCAGCCACCACAAAGACAAGCAGCATGTAAAGACGCCAGTAAGCCACCAGCCATGTGGCAAGGTATAGATTTATAGAAATGGGTTAATTTAAGATAAAAGAACAGTTAGCAAGAAGCCTGCCACGGCCATACAGTTTATAAGTAATATAAGTGTCTGAGTGATTATTTTATACGTGGATTGTGGGACTGTGGAGCTTGGTGGAACCTGGAGAGAAGCCCTCTAGCAACACTAGCTAGCCTGGGGGCTTCTGAATCCTCCTTTCTCTGCCTCCCACCTCACCACGGAAACACTGGTATTACAGATGTATGCTACCCACCAGGCTTTACATGGCTTCTGGGGGATTTGAACTCAGATCTCCACAATTATGCAGCAAATGCTTTACCCACTGAGCTATCTGCCTAGCTTTGTTTCATCGTTCCAAGTCCAAGAGAGCTCCTACCAGAAATGGCAGCATCTGAAGAAACATAAAGATGTGGTCAGAACAAAGAATACCCCAACATTCCTAGCCTTGCCCTTCTGCTTTCCTGATTCTGCAGAACTGTCACTGTTGCTGTATTTTGATAGAAACATTGCCATCCCCCAAGGGCTTTGGAGGTCTGGAGCTTTGAGTTACAACTCGGGATCTCAATAGATGTTGGCTGTTATGCAAAATTAATTATCTTGGTCATTTGAATGTTTTCCCCCAAACATAATATAATCTCATTACAGACTACTCCATACCAGAGTGAATCAGGAGCCAAATTCCATTTAGGAAATTGAAGGTAATTTAGAGTTATATGATTTGAAGGGGGAAAAAAAGGAAGAAACTCCTTTCTTTCTTTGCTAAATGCTAATTTGGTCTGACTCCATAATGTAAAAGTGACTTTCATTTGCTTGGGAATTGCTTTAAGTGTGGGGGGCAGTGAAGGCTCAGTTTTAAATGTTTGAGTAAGTTCTCTAGGCATCTTTGTGAAGGAATCCTGAGGTAGAGCAGTAAAGGACAAAATTCCAATGGACTTCCATAAGACCAAATTTATCCACTGGTGGTCCATGGAAAATGTAGCCCATGGAACCATAGACAGTGAGGATCCCAGAGAACAGACTTGGAGCAGAGAGAGAGAGGCCAGTCTGCTGGGCAGTTTGAACATGCACAGTGTATGTAAGTCAGCTCAGCTGCTGCCAAAAAAAAAAAAGGGTATGTATTTGTTGTAAAATATTATTTTAAGTTATGTTACATTTGTTTATACTGTGGAACACTTGTTTAATGATGCAAAGATGTGTTGCATTCTTTTATGTTGCATTTGTTTAACTCTGTGAAGCTCGGTTACCTTGCCTGTCTAAAACACCTGATGGTCTAATAAAGAGCTGAACAGCCAATAGGGAGGCATGAGAAAGGATGTGGGGGCTGGCAGGCAGAGAGAATAAATAGAAGTAGAAATCTGGGAGGAGAAGAAGAAAGAGCAAGAGAACAAGGAGAGGAGGATGCTAGGGGCCAGTCACCCAGCCACCAGCCACACAGTCAGCCATGGAGTAAGAGTGAAAGTAAGATATACAGAAGTAAGAGAAAGGCAAAAGCCCAGAGGCAAAAGATAGGATAATGTAAGGAAAGCTGGCTGGGAACAAGCCAAGCTAAGTCTGGGCATTTATAATTAAGAATAAGCCTCCATGTGTGATTTATTTGGGAACTGGGTGGCAGGCCCCCTAAAAGAGTAAAAACAACCAACAACATGTATTTGTCCACTCAGCTGCTGTAATGAAAATATATATATTCAGCTGATGTAGCAAAAAGGTACATATTAGCTCAGTTGCTACTATAAAGAGGCATGTATTAGCTAGCTTAGCTGCTGTAACAAGAGAGTGTGTGTTATTACTCTGTTATAAAAAAAGGAGGGATGAACACTAAGTCTAGTTGCAGTAACAAAAAGATGTGCATTCATCAGCTGAGAGCTATAACAAAATGGCCTATATTAGGTCAGCTCTTATAACAAAAGTATACTAGTAAGCTCAGCTGCTGAACAAAATTCCCTCAGCTGGGTGATTTACATTAGAAACCCATTTTCTCACACTTTGAGATGCTGAAAGCTGGAAGTTAGAATATCAGCACGTTGGCAGCTCCTGAGGCCTCACCCTTGGCTGATAGATGTCTCCTCACATATGGTCCTCTCTCTTCCCTGCTGGTGTTCTGGTCTTCTCTCTTCTTCACCATCATTATAAAATGACATGCATTCAGATTGGATGTGGGTCTACCTCAATAACCTCATTCCACCCTAACTACGTCTTTCAAGGTCCTCTTTTCAGATGGCGAGGCAGCAGAAGGTAAGGTTTCAATATGTGGATTTGGGGGAATACAATTCTCCCTTAACCACTATGGAGCCAAGTGCCTCAGTCTAGGCCCATCATGTCAAACTGAGATGCCAACATCCTCATCTGGTCTTCCCGATCCCTCCCTCATCTTTCTGGAGCTTTCTACACATCATGGCCAGAATAACAGCTGCCCTTCCTCCTCCCCTACCTCCCTCTCTTTCTGCCTTTCTTTTTCCTTCTTTTCTTCCTCTCTTCTCCCCTCCCTTCCTCTTTTCCTTCTGTCTGTCAACCTTCAGTATTGGAGATGGAAGCCAGTGTTTCTAACATGCCAGGCAAACATTTCACCGCTGGGTCACACCCTCAGTCCCTCACTGCAGTCAGACTCTGGGCAAGTGTTCTTTTGCTGAGCTATACCCCAACCCATATTTCACAGTTTATCTTGAGGTAGCATCTTACCAAGTTGCCCAAACTGGACTTGAACTCCCTCTGTAGCCCAGGCTAGCCTTGAACTTGTAATCCTTCTCTATGAATCTTCTGAATACCTAAGGTCACAGGCCTGTGCCATGTACTTAAACCCTCCATCAGAAAATATCTCTCTGAGCTCCTGGTGGATTCCATGGGGTTCTGAGCAGATGACAAACTCTCACCTGAACTCCCTATTCTTCTCGAGGTGAACAGCTCATGTTCCCAGCCATGATGTTCTGCCTCACCATGGACATAGACACAATGTAAGCAAGGGATCATGGCCTGAGGCCACTGAAACAGTGAGCCACAATAAATCCTTTCTCAGGTGCATGCCTTCAGCCATTTATTTGACGTCCACTATTTTGAGGTGTTCTGTGTAGTGCAGCAGGCAGAAGGAGGTGGGGCATTCCCTGAGGAAGCAGCCTTGTAGTGGAGACTCCAATGGTGAGAAGACATCAATCAGCCAGACAAAATAGAAATTGAAGATATTCCACCACATGTCACAGAACAGTGAGGATGCTGGAGGCAGCCCCCAGAAACCAGAAGAGGCAAGGAATGGTTTTCAGTTTCCTTTCTGTTGCTGTGATTAAAAACACTCCAACCCAAAGCAACTTAAGGCAGGAAAGGGTTTATTTGGCCTATACTGCTAGGTCATAGTCCATTATTTTAAAAAGTCAGGGCAAGAACTCAAGCAAATCATGGAGGACGCTGCTTACTGGCTCCCTCAGGCTCATGAATAGCTGCCTTTCTTAGATAGCCCAGGATCACATACTTAAGAATGGTGCCATGTGGGGTGGCTGGGCCCTCCTACATCAATTAATAACCAAAACAATCCCTCACAGACATGCCCATGGGCCAAATCTGATCTGGGAAATCCCTCAGTGGAGACTCAGTTTTCTCTACTCTTATGCAGTTTAGGGCCCAAAACTAGGGAATGGTGCTACCCATAGTGGGCTGGGTCCTTCCATATCAATTAACATAATCAAGACAATCTCCCACAGACACGCTCAGAGGCCAATCTAACCTAGATAACCCTTCTTCAAGACTCTCTCCCCAGGTGGTTCCAAGGTGTGTTAAGTTGATAATTAAAACTGACCATTGTAGCCTGGTAAACACACTGTAGCCTGGTAAACCATCTAGTATAGAAGGAAAACCAGTGTTCTGCTAAGTGTAATAGTGTATCCATCTTTTCATGGACTATGGTGGATTTCTCTCTGGGGCAGAGGATTTGTTTCCTGGGCTGTCGCTGGTTGCCACACAGTGAAGAGTAGTTTCTTACTCTTCTGAGGGCTAGAAGTCTAAGACAAAAGCCTTGGCAGGGTAGACTCCCTGGTCTTGTGGGGCAGTCAGCTTCACGGCACTCTGAAGTTCTGGTACTTCCAAGAAATTCTTGGCACTTGTTCTGTGGTGTGGAGACATGTCTCTCTGGCCTCTGCCTTGCCTGTGCTTCTCTGTGTTAGCCTCTTTTCTTTTAAGAAGGCACAGCAGTTATTTTCCCTTTTATCATGACAAAACACCAGAGAAGAAGCGGCGTTGAAGACAGAAGGGTTCCTCTCAGCTTAAGGTCCTTCTTGGCTGCACACACATAAAGCTGCTCATCAATTGCAACCACAGTCAGAAAGCACAGATCAAGCCAGGCAGTGGTGGCGCAGGCCTTTAATCCCAGCACTCGGGGGCAGAGGCAGGCGGATCTCTGTGAGTTTGAGGCCAGCCTGGACTACAGAGTGAGTTCAGGGCAGCCAGGGCTACACAGAGAAACCCTGTCTCAGAAAACCAAAACGGAAAAAAGAAGAAAGAACAGTGAATGATGGTACTCAGCAGCCTTCCTCCTTTTCATTCAGTCTGGGATCACAGCCCATGAAGTGGTGCTGCCCACAGTGAGGGCATGTCTTCCCTCCTCAGTTTAACCAGTCTAGAAATCCCCTAAGTGACATGCCCTGAGGCTTGTCTCCTAGGTACATCTAGATCCTGTCAAGCTGACAATCAGTGCTAACCATCATTGGGCATGGGTGGTACACACCTTTGATCCTAGCATGCAGGAGGCAGAGATAGGCAGACCTGTGAGTTCAAGACTAGCCTGGTCTGGACAGAGAGTTCCAGGCCAGCCAGAACTTCATAGTGAGATCCTGTCTCAAAACAGCAACTAGCAAACATACTTATTACTGGGTTTGTTGTGGGTCTCACCCTAAATCCAAGATGATGTCATCTCAAGATGCTCACCCTGGCAGCAGCTACTAAATCCCTGTTTCCAGATGAGCTTCCTGTAGTAGTTACTTCTCTATCACTGTGATGAAATGCCTGGCAGAAACAACTTAAAAGGAACATTTATTTGAGCTCAGGGCTTCAGAGGGTTTTCAGCCCATCTTGACAGGCTGACATGGAAGCAGTGTGAGCATGACGTGGACATGCTGTTCAGGTCACAGTGAACCAGGAAGGACAGAGAAGTCTCCATAACCAGGCTATAACTTCAAATGTCTGCCCCTAGAAAACTACCACTCAGACCTTCTAAAAGGGCTACAGCCTTCAGAAAGGTGCCACCTCCTGGGAACAAGGCCTCAGATTCCAACCTTAACAGTCACGTTTTGAGGTCCCAGTGAACACGGATTTGGGAAAGGATTCTAGTTAGCTGTCTACCATTTCCCTCACCTCCTTCTTATCACATGTACATATGTGTACATATTCGTGTGTGGGAATATTGCACATTCAGTGAGCTCCAGAGATCCTCCTGTCTCTACTCCCCAACACCAGGATTCCAGGCATTTTTTCCAGTGGACACTAGGGATCTGAACTCAGTCCTCATGTATGTATGGCAAGTGCTTTACCAACCAAGCCATTTCCCAGCCCCAGGTTTCCTCACGTTATAATGCCCAAGGCCACACAGCTGGGGTGGATGGTGGGCTCCTCAGCCTTTCCCCATCCCACTGTGTGTTACAGGGATCTGAGAGGGCTCAGGGTTGACCAGGTACATGCTAGACCCCATGAATATTCCCTACTTATCTGAAATGCATGTTCCAAGATGCCACCAACACAAATCACATCTCTCTCTCTCTCTCTCTCTCTCTCTCTCTCTCTCTCTCTCTCTCTCTC